CCCATGGGTCTATCAACAGCCCTCTTTCCATTTTGGTGACTGACTACAAGGACGATGCCGGAGAGGTAGGCGATCACCGGCGATATCTCGACGACTCCTTTCTCTCTCATTCTATCTCTGCCTCGCGCTAGCCTTGTGTATCAGAGGATTCAGATTCAAGTCTGATCAATGTGAGTTTGTTCTTGTGATTATTCTCATTTGTGACAACTCTGTTTCAACGTCTAGCTTCTGTTTTCTTTGGGTGATCTTTACTTCACTTGAACCTTATGATTGCTTGCTTTTCACTGCGATATTGGGGTATGCGGTATGCCCTTAGATTAAGTTGAATGGTCTAGGCTACGTAGTTGGATTTGATGCTTAGATGTATTAGCTTAGTTCTTGTTTATGCACTCGGTCTTCCCTAATTCTTTGGACATATATGTAACATCTTTCATGTCTGTTACCTGTTTGTTAATATACCTAAACGAACTTCATAAGAAAAGTTATTAACTCTGAGGGAGCCGTTTACTTAAAAAGGTGTTGAGGAATGCTGAAGGTCGTATGGTAGCTGTTGCTTCGATTTTTTATGGGGAAGGCTCTAACATGCAGACTGAGTGTAAGGCTTTGTTTGATGGCCTGAATTTGGTGCAGTATGGGCTGGGGGATTACCCTTTACTGATTGAATCTGATTCTCAGATTCTGGTGATGATGGTTCATGGGAAGGCTGCGACTCCATGGAAATGTAGAAGGGTTTTAAGGAGAATTTGTGAGATATTGGGGAGTTTGGATGCTAGAATGTCTCACATATATTGTGAAGCTAACGGGGTAGCAGACTTTTTGGCTTTGTATGCTGTTCAGTCGAGGAGGTCCACTGATTTCTCAATGAGGAGTTTGACTACAGAAGGGAAATTATTGTTGATCCATGATCAGACTGGATGGCCAGTGGTGAGAAGGAAGAAGATTTTGGTTGTGCACGGGCTTCTACCGCAGTAGGAAAAACTTGAAATATCACCATGTTTAGAGAGCTACTTAGCAACAGTTGTTAGGAAAAACTAGAAATTTTAAGGGTTTTTTTCGTGCACCATATAAGCATTTGTCTTTTCTTCCCAATACAGGTTTTGGACAAGCCTGCTTCTGTCAGAACTAAATCGTTGTTGATTATCCGAACAAGACGCAGTAGGTTGTCTGCTCAGAAATATGACCCTAGAAGCAATGGTCCAAAGGTGAGAATTACAACACAAGTTGCAGTTTATATGGACAAAGTTGAAATCCTGATCTCTCCCTTCCTCTAACATCCAATATCCCCTTCCAAAAAAAATGAAGAAAAATAAAAAGAAAATTGGTATGGAAATGTGAAACATTAATGCTGTTGTTTGATTATTGTGTACAGGTGCCATTTTTTAGTAGTGATGAGGAAACTCTTAGCACATCCAAGGGAAATGCTTTATTGGTTCCAAGGGAGAACCCAAGAGCTTTTATCCTTCATTTTTCAGAACAGTGGCCCCTGAGGGCTAATGGAAAGCAATTGCCTACGTTGAATCATAAATATTATCATGTGTATGAGAATGGTAAGTATTCCTATATGTGATTTTCTTTCGTGCAAATTTCTGCCATTTTCATGGCTCCTCTTATTTTGTGTTATAATAGAGGATACACGATTCTGATCTTTTGCAGAATAAAAGATATGTCAGAGATAGTAATTCATAGTTTTAGACAACCTTATGTGTTCATGTTTTATAGTTAAACAGATTTAATTGACTAATGTTATGGCTATGCTTATTCAACATTTTTTTGCCTGCAAAGTTGCAGGAAATATAGGTGACAATGGCACAAGTGAAGCCGGTGTTATTTCAGCCAAACTCAACCTTAAGCCTAATGGGATGCGTGATGATCATTCCACCAAAAAGGAAGGTTCATGCATTGAAGTCCCCGGATGCAAAGATGGTCAGGATGCAGGTATTCATCAGCATGAAGCTGATGTAGAACCAATAGTGCCAAAGCTCCGCCACTCTAACTACTACACAGAACCTCAAATCCAGGAGTTGGCAACAAAGGAAAGACTGAACCAGGGTTCTACAGCCGTGTCAAGGAGTTTGTGGTTGGACAACGTGGCTATGGCAACATCAAGTTTTTGGGGGAGACAGATGTGCGGCAACTTGATCTTGAATCCCATGTCCAGTTTAATAACCGTGAGGCGATTGTGTATATGGATGACAGCAAGAAACCCCCAGTGGGGCAAGGTCTTAACAAGCCTGCAGAGGCAGCTCTTCTTTAACATCAAATGCATTGACAAAAAGAGAGGGAAACAACAGTACATAGATGGACCAAAGGTTGATAAGTACAGAGAGATGCTAATCAAGAAGGTGGCAGAGCAAGGTGGTGAATTTGTTGCTTATGATCCAGTGGAAGGGGAGTGGAAATTCTGAGTTCAGCCCTTCAGTTGATACCACTTCAGAGATGAGAATGAATATGAAACATGTTTTGACAATGTGTTTTTTTTTTTTTTTCTGCTGGCCTAAGAAGATAGGTAGTTCGATGACAGAAGAGTCTAGGGTTGTGCATCCATGGCTGCGCTGATGTCGAGGTCTATGTGGTGGCTTTGCCAAATCTGCGTTGTCTACAATTTTTTTTCTTTTTTTTGGGATTCGAGTCTCTCTAAACATGGTGATGTTCTTTTGGTATCATTATATGTGTAGCGTATGTTTGTATATGTGCATGCAATGTTATTAACAATTGTGACACAAATAAGTGTTTTCACATCCAAACGTGTTTTTTACAAAATATATTAATTTAAGTAATTTAAATATTGAATATCCAAACAATACTTATTTAATAAAAAAAAAATTCTTATAAACACTTTTGATAAACATTTATTAAAAAAGTATTTTTTGAATTTCATAAGTAATTCAAAATGCACCCTAAAACTTGTATGTTTACATGAAAACATACGATGTATACTTAATACATGTATTTTTAACTTTCAATGGTCACTTTTTTTAAAAAAAAAAATTGGATGGACAGGCGAACTGAGCTAGGCGGCCGGATTCTTGGACTGAGTTTTAATCATTTTTTTGTGGGCGGATAAATGGGCCACATAATGGGCACGGGGGCAAACATAAACTATTTCTTAAAAGACATTGAGCTTGCGTTCAGACGAATCAACTATTAAATTTATCGATTTTTAAACTTATTTTTTGGGCCGAATAATTAGTCCTATGAACCAACCCAACCCAGACACCCCTAATTCTCTGTTTGATAGGAAAGATGCAAAGTATGATAAATATATTTTTTATCCTTCAAGAAAAGAAAGTAAGAATAATATACTATTTTTCCTTTGTGTTTGATAGAATGGATAGAAAATAAAAATAATTTTTTTTTTGTGCTTGCTAAGATTAGGGGGTGACAAATCGAATTATGTCGTGTCAAATACGTGTCAAGTCACTGCAGGTTCATATCGAACATTAATCAAACCTAACTCAACTCATTTAACTAATCGTACGGTGTCAAATTGACCTATTTATTTTTATGTTGTGTTCGGGTTCATATTCGTGTTTATTTTTGAGTTCATGTCGAGTTATAATTAAGTTTGTGTCATAAAATTCGTGTCGAGTTTGAGTTGTTTCATCGTGTTGAGTCGAAAATTTTCACCCCTAACTAAGATGAAAAAATATTTTTTTATTTTAAAAAAAATATAAATACATATTTATCATTATATTTATATATGAAACTAATATATACACAATATATGTATATATCAAAAAATATATAGACAAATAAAATACATTTTAACACAAATAATTAATTTTTCATCTACTTTTTTTCTGATTTTAGATCAATTGATTTTTGTGAGTTAGAAGGAAAATTCATTCATCTACTTTTTCATCTTTTCTATTTTATTTCTTTATCAAATATAATATTTTATTTACTCCTCCAACTTTCTATCTTTTTATTTTTTTATCATATCTGTAGGATCTTAAAAAATAATATCTAACACTTAAATAATCTCTCACACACAATTATTTAATCAAAGGGAAAATTAAAGAAGAAAACCGAAGCACAAGCACATATTAGTAAGTTTCACGTTAAAACCAAACCAATCTTCTTATTAGCCAACAAAGTTATGTCATTCTCTTACTAATAAAGACATTAAATATTAAAAAGGTCTAAACCTATATTAAAAAACTAATAACTCAAATCCTATTTTAACTTTAATTAAACTACTCAAAATTAACTAAAATATTTTTTGCATCAAAACTCTTAAATCCATTAAAATTCCAATTAAAAATTAACACTAATGCTCCATTTGGTAGGAATGATAAAAAGTAAAAAGAATGGAAAATATGAGTAATACACTTTCTATCCTTCAAGGATGAAAAGTAGGAATGATACACTTTCTTTCCTTTGTGTTTGGTTGGATGGATGAAAAATAAAAATGATTAATTTTTATTTTTTTTTAATTTTTTTTTGTGATGGCTAAGATTAGGGTTGACAATCGAGTCATGTCGTGTCAGATTCGTGTTGAGTCATAAAATTATGAGTCTTTTATATTTCTTGTTCGCGTGTCAGATTATTTTCAAGTTCGTGTCGAGCTATAATCAAGTTCATGTTATAAAATTTGTGTTAAGTTTGAGTCGTGTAATCGTGTTGAGTCGAAAATTTTCACCCCTAATTAAGATGAAAAAATATTTTTTTTAATTTAAAAAAAAAAAAATATATATATATATATATACATATTTTATCAATATATTTTTATATGAAATTAATGTATACATAATATATATATATAGACAAATAAGATACATCTCAACACAAATAATTAACTTTCTATCTAATTTTCTTCCAATTAACTTTGGTGAATTGGAAGGAAAGTTAATTTATCCATTTTTTTCTCATTCTTACTTTCTTTCCTTATCAAATATGATATTTTATCTATCTCTCTAACTTTTCATCATTCGAATTTTTTATTCTTCTGTTTTTTTTTATCTTAACAAATAGAGCATAAATTAATAAAAAATAAAATACTTGAAAAGTTTGGTCAAACTCCTACAATATCAAACAGAGCATAGCTGTAACGAAATAGTTTGCAATTTACCGTAGCGGTGGCAGATGATTGAATATACAACCTATCTGTGGCAACTGGTACATGGGACCACGGTCCACTGCTCATTCTTCATTATAAAATCAACAATCAAAACCGATTTAGTTGACTACGAGGAAGAACAAGACAAAAAAGTAGTGTCCCACTCGGAATTGGGGAGTACCATAATACGTTGTATGCGGCCAAAACAGAACCGACAAATTGGTTGGAAGGGGGGGACAAGTACAACACCCCTTGTCCCCACGGTAAGCTTCAAAGATCAAGTGGCTCAAATCAATCTATTGGCCAGTGAAGTATGAACAATATCTCTCAAAAAAAACCTGAATCCGTGGTGGGGCCCCACAAAGAATGCAACCGACAGTAGACAACAAACACCGTCATAGTTGGACAGTGAAGCGAAACTATTGGGGTTGTTTCGTTTTGTCTGAGGACTGTCCGGCAAGTCTTTGAGTGACCAGCTGGCTTTGGCAGCAGCTGTATTGTTAACGTAAGAACGGGTCCCACTACCCAAAAGCACTTTTTCGTGTACCCTTATCATATGTTTGTTAGGATGCATAAAAGATTGTTTTTGGTCAGATGAATGAAAGATTAAATGGTAAGAAATATGAGTGATATAATTTTTATTTTTATGGGAGGAGGTTTTTTTTCTTTTAGATAAAATTATGGAATTAAAAAAATTGATATTATAACTCTAAAATTTATAATTGTTGTAGGTTTTAATATAAGTTTGTGATTCACTTACAACAGAAAAATTTAAAATTTTTAGGTTAATTTATAACTTTTGTGATAGCTTAAGATCGATCCTAATATTTTTTGAATTGATCACAAATTACCATAAAATTATAAAATAACCTAAAAAATTTATAAAAGAACCCATAAAATTTATAATAGTGGTAAGGTAGTAATTTTTTTTCTGGTACGGTAAATTTCTCCTTCTCTTTTTTGTATTTGGTAGAAAATATAAAAAATAAAAAAATAATAAATTTTTAATATTTAATATGAATATAAAATAAAATAAATAAAATAATATAAATACATAATTTAACTCAGATAAATAATTGTGGATCGACTTTGCAATACTTGGGTAGTCAGTCCTGTTATCAACTGCCTAAACTGCTCGCTAAAGTTGCCTCGCTGAAAAAGGTATACCGTGTGTTTCCAATATAAAATTAATTTTGCCACGTGGGCGGCTGGAGAATAATTACATGTCACTTCCCTAATCACACTACACGGTTATATTTATCTTTGCCGTTTTTTACTTTCTAACAACAAATGCACCACCATTAAATGATCAATTTTATTTGTATCTATTTTGTTAATATAATTATTAATAAATTAACAATAGATTCTTTAATTATTTTGGATTCTCTACCAATTTAATTATTGTAATTCATTGGTTCAACAAATTATTGCAACTAAATCAGGCTAAATAATATTATTTTTATGAAATTGTTTGATACAATAAAGATATAATAACCTTAATTTTTTTTTGATAATCAAGAGGGCATCTTTCAGAAATTATTAATGTCTAACTTGCCACGTTTTGTTCTATCTTTGTGTACCACTCTAATAATGAAAAATAAATATTATACCAACGAGTCTTTATTACAATGATATTTTTTATCTTATAAAGATTTTGTCTTCTTAAAGTTAAAAGTTTAAGTTTTCATTTCCTTTATATATATATATATATATATATATATATATATATATATATATATATATATATATATATATATATATATATATATATATTATGTATTTAATTTAATAATTTAATTTGAATACTTAATCAATTGCGTTGGACTAAAAAAAAAGTTTTATCTAATATTAGAACTAATAATTAATTTAATAATTGCAATGAATTAAGTTTCTTAATTGGCTCTCCAAATTACATTCTTATAACATTGCTTTAAGTACCACAAATTTTTTTTTTCTAATAAAGATATTACACGTGTAATATTTTATTTAATTATTTAGATTACTTTCTTATTTTCTATAATAAATAGTTTAAATTAATTAAAAATAAAATCAACAATTATAGGTTAATTTGTACTAAATCTTTTAACCATGTAGAATTTGACCGAGTTTTAAATTTTAATTTTTAATTATTGATTTTACAAATGATAAATTAATACGAAAATATAAAATAAAAATACGATATTAAAAAATCATTTTTCAGGTTCGTAATCGTGTTTTTTTTTTTTTTTGGGTCATGAACCGAATCTTATTTAAGGGTTGTCATCATCTTGGTTCAATTTGGCTTCTTGTTTTTTTTTGACAATCACGCTCCTAACTGGCGAGTGGGACCAGATACATATTCCGAAACAGCGCTTAAAGTCAAAGCGATTCAAACCCGCATCACGTGAGATTCGTCCAGCCTGTTAGTGGGTCTGAAGTTGATCAGAGCGGTTCATTTTCTTGATCAAACTCTACATTTGGAATTACAGCTGTAGATGTCTGGAAGCTGCAAAGTAGTCAAAAGTAGGTGGCCCCACTTGACGTTTTAAAAAGTGTTTTGTTGTTATTAAGCGTATGATGACTTACAGCTCGGACATTTTACTGTCATGTGTTAAACGCTCCTGATAAGATCGGGAGCCAAGTACGGGAATGATTGTATTGTTTTCTTCAATAATGAACACTTTGTCCCTTACAAGATTTTTATATTTTTACTTTGACCCTTGAAGGATTTAAAATCTCATCTTTCACAATAAAATTTCTTTAAATGGCTCAACTTGTCACTTTTTATTCTCATTTTGGGACTTTTTTTTTAAAAAAAAAATTTTATGTATATTTTTTTTTGGGGAAGGGAAACTTGAATCATTGACCTGAAAAGTCAAAATTTTCATAAGATAAAAAATATTATTAAACCAAAATTTCATTAATAAATTCATTGTGGGACATAAAAATATATATTCAGAATTTAATATCTTCCACTTATGCATTTTGTGTTGCTAGGAGGGTCGTGTACATTATTTACATTATCTAAAAAAACTGTATGGTGGATTAGAAGAAAAATCCGATTCATATCACCAGATTCAATGGATGCATATCAAAATCTTTCCGGAGATTTTCAAGTAATTTAAGTCCAATGCTAACTTACGGAAACTTCTAGAAATTGCCAAAATCGTCATTCCCTCAATGGGGACAAAAATCTGCTCACAGAAACACAATCCCAAATACATATTACAATGGGGTGCACATTGTTCGGGTTCGAACCCCTACCAGCTTGACACTAGGTAGTTTCCAAGAACAAACCCACTCCACCCCCTGTTCCCAAACCTGATTCCACTTTGATTCAATTTCAATTACATAAATTTGAATTAAATTTAAAAATTTAAATCTAAGTATTTAATATATAATTATTACTACACAACCCCAAAAACACCTAAATTTGTCAAATAAATAACTTAACTAAGTTAGAATTTAAAATAGATGGTCTGAATGTTCAACTTACTTGTGGTGGTATTGTGGTAATAGACTTGATCGTCGATTATCCTTACTCAGTAGTTATAGTTCAAATTGAACATTCTACGGTGGGTGAGAATCTCAACATAACATCACGAAAGGTTGCTATGTGCTTGCTCTTGACCATCCTTTTTAATAAAAAAAAAAAAAGAAAGAAAGTAAGAATTTTAAAAATATATACAAATTTTAAGTCAATTCCATCAAATATATATATATATATATATATATATATATATATATATATATATATATATGAATGATATCCAGATAAATATAATTTGAACCAAATAATTAAAAAAATAAATATTAATGTATTCAAAAAAAAAAAACTGGCATCCCTCTTTTTTTTTTTTTGATCAAACTGGCACCCCTCTTTCCCTGCAGTTTCTGCAAGCAAAATATACTCCTCTCTATCTATATATACAGAGTCTTGCAGACCCACTAAGGCATTCTTCCCTTTCAACGCCACCACCAGCTCTGAACTACATTCAACCCCCACCCCTTCACATCACAACCCTCTGTTTCCCTCACTAAAGACCATTGCCTTTTTTTTTTTTCCTGAAATGGAAGCACTCAACAGGTGCTCATCACTTACTTCTTCATCATCCGGTTCGTCTTCCTCAGACTCTTCACTGTCCGGTAACAAGACACGAAGAGACACAGACAAACCAGAGAGAATCAGAGGTCCTTGGAGCGCAGAGGAGGACAAGATTCTGACCCGCCTTGTGGACCGATACGGGGCGCGAAACTGGACCCTGATAAGCAAGTACATAAAGGGTCGGTCCGGAAAGTCCTGCCGGCTCCGGTGGTGCAACCAGCTCAGCCCAAATGTGGAGCACCGTCCGTTCTCTCCGGCGGAGGACGAGATCATCTTGGCCGCTCATGCTAAGTATGGTAACCGGTGGGCCACCATTGCCCGGTTGCTTCAGGGTCGGACTGATAATGCTGTCAAGAACCATTGGAACTCGACGTTGAAGAGAAAATATCTACAAATCCATGAACAAGATGGTCAGAGAATGGACGGTGGTGATTTGAAGAGTGAATCAGGATCTGGGTTTTTCATGAATTCTGATAATATTAGAGTGGCTGATCGGACTTTCTCCGATTCTGATAATTTTGACCCAATGACGACTTTGTCATTGGCGCCGCCGGGAGTGGTGGGTTATGAGCTGCCGGAGAGAAAGACCGAGAATTTTCCGGCGGGGTTTTGGGATGTGATGAGGGATGTGATTGCAAAGGAGGTGAGACAGTGCGTGACGACGTCGTTCTCGGATGCTTCCTCGGGGTTTCATTAACGTTAAATGTGTTCGTTGCTTGTTAAAATCTCCCTGTCCTTTTCTGTTTTTTTAGGAATTAATTAATCTGTCTTTTTTCAAAGGTATTAATTAATCACCTTCTGGTTTAATTAATCTATTGTAAATATTTATTCTCATCTTCTAAGTATAATCTATTCCTACGGGTTTCTAAGATTTTATTGAAAAAAAATATTGATTTTTCTTCAGTCGGGACAAGAAGTTTATAACATAAATTCACCCGTGTTTTTTTATTTTCCTGGAAAAGTACCATTGTTTTTCCTAAGGTACTAATCTTTCAATTAAAGCCCCAAAGGTTTTGTGGCCTGGCTGGAATTTTGATGTTGATGTAGATTAGTGAATTACAAATACTTGATCTCCACAAAAAATTGCCAAACAAAGAATATTCGTGTGACCCTACTTACTAAAGTTGTGTACCTAAAGTACTTGATGATCAAAAAAAAAAAGTACTTGGTAATTGATCTAATGGGTGCAAATTTTAGCTGTCATTCCATTAACTTTTACAAATGGAAGTTGATGAGCTACATGAGGAGTGTGTCCTGCTAATTATTTGGTTTGGTTAGAAAGAGAAATATCTATAAGAATATAATAACTTATTGGACTCTAATAGATGGTACAAAATTACTTTTTAAAGAGAATTTTCTTGTATTTAGAGGAGATAATCGTTTATATTGCGATCTCTATCTATCTATCCATAATATGTGTTGGTATGTAATCGGATTTCATTCTTTCACTATCAATTGATAACCTTGCAGTTATGTCATCTAATTATTTTTGTAGATAGTTTTCATGAATAAAAAATTCAAAACCAATTATTCGATGTTTGAAATCGTTTGTTCTATAACGAAAAAAAAGAAGAAGAAGAAGTCATTTTTCTTCTCTTAAGTAAAAGAGAAAAAAAGAATTTTATTGGTGTTATGATTTTGCTACATTTGAACATTAATTTCTTTTATGCAGTTTTCCAATTGTTTTTTGAAAAATATTTAGTGTGACTAATTTCTGTTAGTAAGCACCTCTCACAGATTTGTCATCGCATGCGCCACTGAAGCATGCATTCATTTTATTTATCCTCGTACTTGGAGTAACAGTGATAAAATTAGACACGAATATACTAGGGTTAACTAATTTTCAAAATCAATTTGAAAATGACATGACATATTATCATGCATGACAAATGAGTTAAGTTAATGTTGAACATGCATAATCCTAAGGAGGCATGATACACTCATATTGACAAGGATTATTGTATTTAATGGAGTTTTTTTTTTTTTTTTGCTTGTTTTTGCTATTATATAAATTTAAATAAATTTTTAGTCAATGAAAAAAATTATATGTAAATACTCTGTGAATTCTGGGCTAGGTACCTAAGTTAGTAACTAGCGTATATTGGGGGGATGCCTAACACAAAGTATTAAACCTTAAAAAAAACTTAAGTCCCTCGAAACCCTACGTTCCTTTAGATAGTATAATATTAAGTTATATTAATTCCTCCTTATGATATCGTATTCCCCATTTACGCATCTATTATATGTTATAATGGAATTTTTTGTCATAGGCTCAAAAAGTTGTCATTCTTCAGATCTTTATTGATTGGCCGTCCGATATAGGATAACTTATTCGAGATAAATAGATATTGTAATGATTTGGTGTACCGAACTTCACTTAAGCAAGCAAAGTAACTTTAGTGCTAGATTTTTAATTCATTGATTATATGAATTAACACGAACAAAACATAATAATAAACATATCATGTTAATGTTAGGACATCTAATACGATTAACTAAAAAAATTAAATAAGAATTGATTTACACTCGAGATTACTTTGCTCGGAGAATCCTTTTTGGTTGTATACGATAGCTGTAAATTGTATGGTTTACGTTAGGTTTAGAAATATCAACAAAATAATTTACTTTCCTCGGAAAATTTAATTTTGAACATCTCATCGATCATCATACAAGAAGAAGTATTTCTTGGACGGATGAAAGAGGATGGTGAGGAGACAGAAGGCATCTTGTTTTGTCACGTGAGAACAGGTCCCAAAGAGCATGCGTGTTCCCTTTTCAAGTCGGCACTTTGTAAATTTCTATTCATTTGTTTGAGGCTGTCTTACGTGGTTCGGAGAGTTCCCTGCCAATTATGGAGAAATTTTTGTATCAGTTTAATAAGTCACGTGATATTATTATGTGATCGATGTACATTATTAAAAAAAAATTATACATTTGTAATGGATGGTTGTCAATTATCATTTTGTTAATTTTTTTTAAAAAAAATGAACTTATGTGTACTATAAGTTAATTTTGTGACAATTTTTTTGAGTTGTACGCACGAGTAGTAACTCTTGTGTTAAACTCATTCTAATTCTCCGAAAGAGCTAACCCATATGCGTTTTGTAGGACTTGGACCCTATAAATGGAGTACAATCTTATTTCTGATTTAATGTGTTAAAATATTTTAATTAAAAAAGTGTTTTTTATGTGTGGGAATTAATCCCACGTCGATTAAATATAAAAAATTAATTAAATATATATATATATATATACTAGTGTTATCTAAGATTTGAATTAAAGAGATATGTTGAGACTCTCATGTGCCCAAGGGTAAGACTAACAGAGATACAAATTTTTAAAACTGTAAGCTTCTACACTGTGATTCTCTCGTAAAGGGTGCGAATTGTCTTTAACATTTGAAACTGTAGCCTTTGAATGTGGACAATTTTCTGAAAGAGCTAACCCATATATAGCGTTTTGTAGGACTTGGACCCTATAAATGGAGTACAATCTTATTTCTGTTCCAATGTTTCAACCTTTTCCAACCCATTATTATTATTTTCATACCATTTCACTTCACTTAACATGAACTCAATACGAAGATGACAGCCAAAACAATAAAATTAACAAAATGTTATAAAACTAGCAAATTAATGTAGGTGCAACAAACAAAACAAATGGAAGGATAGAAACAGTACAGAGAGAGAGAGAGAGAGACATTTTATTCAGTGAGTTCTTCGTTTAAAATTGAAAGGCTTGTTTATAGGCAAAATAACTCTATTGCACTATCCGCAGGAGTGCAATTATAAATAGACATTAGTGGTAGTCATCCATCTTCTACTCATGTATCAGTGTCATTTAAAACACTATTTGGTACTATGTGTTACTATTTGTGTATAATAGTCATCCACATCATACACACTATTTATAACACAAACGAAATTTCTAAATAAAGGCAGAAACTTTACTTTTATTTGTTTACATGTAAATCAGCAACAAACATACATGTATATAAGTATATATGTGTATATATCACACACCACTTTTCGAAAAACATAAATTTTTCGAAAAAAAAAAAAGTTTGGAACATAATTGACTATCCTGCCAAAAGATTGGCTTATTAATATCACCATGAAACTGAACTGAAATAGTAAGCAGCGTCCATTCTGTAATGACATGGTCCAGTAACATTACATCAAGCACGACGACGACGGGGCAAAGGAATGGCGAAGAACTTCATCCCCCCGACCCTGCAGTCATTGAGTTTGTTGCCCTCACCGCTAGCAAAGTAGTAAACCCTCCACTGGCTCAGCACAAATGCGAATCCATCGCCACTTCCTTGTGTCGAATTTGCCAGCAGTTTTGCCCACCGAAGATCGCACGTTAAGTAGCTCCACAGGTTTGGCAGCAAGTACACGCTATGTGCAGCAGGGGTGGTGTTGCTTGGCGGATCATATCTGAATACTACAAGATCACAATAACCATATACAACTAACATCATAACATAACTAGCGAAACGAATTTTTCGTGTGGAGGCTGGGTTTTTTGTCCGTATTTGACGCTATTTTGACATGCTTGTAATAGATGTATTGTGTCGTTCTTAAATTTGTTAAAAACTAGTTAATTCTAACTCATTAGTCATTACTATCATATTGTGCATGGAAATAATGCAACTGACCTAGAGTATCATTTATGTAGAAAGGAGCACGTTTGAGAGCCCAGTCGGTGTAGTTAAAGCCGAAGCGCCAGTTCTCAGATCCTCCAACGACAATGGTCTCTGCCTGGCCCTGGCAAACAGTCACCATGCAAGCAATTGCAAGAAGAACAAGTACCTGTGCATAACCAAAAGCTGCCATCTTCTTCATGTTCTTGGATTTGGACCGAGGGAAAACGAAGATATATAGATATGCAATGAGGTAATGGTGCCAATATATAGATGGGGTAGTTTGTAGGGTTTATATAGGGGGTTTTTGGCAACATGGTCCCGATGATGACTGACCACAGTGCCAGTGTACCACAGGAATCTTTTCTCCGTTTGTTTGGTAAAACAAGGAAAAATGTAAATTCCAAAGCATTTTGTTCAAGTCAAAGTTTTATGCCTCAAACCTCCACTGTGGTTTACCCTGACTATTTGTCTAGCAGAACCAAATGAACACAGTATTTTAATGTATAGAGAGGGACTATTATTCCAATAGCATTGCTCGACTATAATTGTAACTTGAACTTGTGTCAAGCCTCACTCTTCATCAAAAACTATGTAAACTATACTGCATTAATGCCCAATGTTTGGCAGGTGGTGTACATCATAGATGCTATTTTGTATACAAGGCACAAAATATTATTTACACATAAAAAAATTTGTACATTTTCATGTCTGTTTGACGAAGTAATTTTTGTGATAGTGTTTTTTATGAGGTGTGAGTTTCGTCTGGCATCGTCACATGATACGCGATAATTTCTAAATATTTTCTGCTCTTGTTTATTGAGGTAGCAAAGTCATATCACAGGTGGGTATAGTCGTAATTTCATAGATTGACGACTTAGCTTTGTCAAAGGCGTTTAATTATTTCCTTTAAGACCAAGAATTACATGGCATGACTATGATTACTACTACACCATTAAAGTCAGTTAAAACAACTGAATATGGGTTGGTAGACTGTCTAGAAGAGTTTAACGGTCCACCAACGGCGTTTCTGTTTCTCATTTGCAAGATTACCAGATGAAAGTTGGATTTGCTCGCCTCATATTACTAAATTTAATTCATTAATATTATTAAATTTATTGTAAGTCTCAATATTGGTTATCAATCCAAGAGTAGTAATCAATTAAAACAAAACAATAAATTAGGCTTAAATTGCTCAAGTTATTGTTTTTCCACTACCAAAATAATATTAATTTCTTCTTTTTATGTAACAAACTAGCACACTACCAACAATTTTAATTCATCTACATATGAACACAGGAGGCAAAAAAAAAACCTATACTATAATCTCCTCATTTAGTGAAATTCTGAGTGCCTTAGAATAATATTTGATCATTAAATGAGTTTTTTTTTTAACTTATTTTTATAAGTTTAAATTTTTGGTATGGACTATGTTGAAACTATGTTGGCCTAAAGCCCGTGGTAAAGTGACTTTACATATGGGCCGGCCTTGTATAGAATTTCGGTTATGTACGCACATTGCATTGCTTTGCCTATAACTGTAAAGTACCGAAGATACAGTGATTTTCCATTGCAGGTCGTTGACAGTCACTGCAGAAATTTATGAGATCTCGTAGGGGATTTCATGGGTTCTCTTCCCAAACCCCCTCTGTTTTGCTTAAAATGGCCATGGGATATTGTTCATCAGAACCCTAGTAACCCGAATACCTGCAACTTTGAGGCTCCTTGGCTTTTTACATCATTTAAAAATCTTGGCTCTATAGCTTTCCAATTTGTCAACTCCGTTTCCCACTCTCGAAATCCATGGATGAAAACCCCATTCCAAGTAGATGCGAAAATGGGCCAAACAAACAGCTTGTTGAAGAGGAAGAAGGGCTTGACTCCTGAAGAACAAGGAGAGGCAGAACACAGAGCTTTAGCATCTGCACTGACAAGTGGGAAAGAGGCCACTGTTATTGAATTCTACTCGCCCAAGTGCAGCCTCTGCAATTCGTTGCTTAGTTTTGTCTTGGAAGTAGAAGCTAGGAATTCCGACTGGCTCAATATTGTCATGGCAGATGCGGAGAACGAGAAATGGTTGCCTGAGGTACCTACACTCACTCCTCATTAAACAAAAAGTATTTGTTTACTGTTCCAATTTTCTGATTGAACCTGTTTTGTCTGTGATTTATGTGGATGGATAGAAGATTCTTTTGATTACGTATAAAGCATCTCTGATCCCTTCGTCAGTCCACGTTGATTGATAAAACCAGGGTTTTGATTGAATGTGTTCAAGTCTAGTTCATAGGTTCCGGCAATAGGATTAGATAACCCTTCGTTTTAGGAATTGCAATGGTTAAGGATACTGATGTGTGGTCTCCTCTCTCGCCCACAGTGGCGATTCTTCCTAGCACCATGCTCATTTCCCTCCAGTGTTCCTTTCTCCTGTATTACTATCCCATTGTCGCCTCCTACCACCTTATCTTCAAAGCCGACTACACACTCAACTCCAAACCAACTACAACCTTTACCTTCAATAACCAGTGGGCCCATAAACCAGAACCCATTACTTCAACTCAACAGCTGGAGAAACTCTCTTCTCATTTCCTCTCTCTATTCCCCCCTTTTGTGCATATACATTTGTCCTCCCCCCCCCAAAAAAAAAAAAAAAAAAGCTCGTGTGATGCCTCCAGCACTAATAGCACACCAACTGTTTGATTAAAAGCTCATGTAAAAAAAAACAGAAACCACTCAACCATGGACACCTATGCGGCAGACAAGCCACCAGACCAAGACGCAAGACCGTTCCCATTCCCACAACTCAACCCTATACCAAAACCTTCACATTCCCCCATCCATAAACTCAGATTATCCCCCTCCACCAATACATTAAGTCCCTACAAAATTCTCTCACACCCAACATCCTAACCAAGTTATCATCAACACAAACCATACTGAAACACCCACCTCCCAACTCTCCTACAAAGATACTTTGGCCACAGAAACTATGGAGGAGTTTTGTGCTACATCACTGCAAAGTGAAGACTTGGACTCGGAAAAATTTAGGGAAGATTCAAGAAACCCCAAAATCAATTTATCCAAAGAAGATAAAGTGAGAATTCAGCATCCTTGGGCAAATTCTATCATCCTCAAAACCTATGAACACACATATAGTTATGATTACCTCATTGAGAAATTGGCCACTTTATGGAGGACTAAGGATAGAATGGAATGTATAGCTCTAGATGAAGGCTACTACATTGCTCGATTCCAGTCGTTAGGAGATGCCACAAGGATACTTAGCGGATGTTCATGGTTCCTTGGGCACCATTTCATAAGTGTTAGGCAATGGGAACCTGATTTTCAACCATTAGTTGAAGCGGCCAACACTACGGTATCATGGGTTCGGCTGCCTAGTCTACCAATTGAGTATTATGATTCTCTTATTCTTTAGAAAATAGGGCTGATGATTGGTAAGTTGATAAAGATCGATGCTAGAACAGTTGCAAGGTTATGTGTTTGAATTAGTACTTCCATGCCTCTAGTCTCACATGTTTTCATCGGTAAACATAAGCAATGGGTTTTTTATGAAGATCTTAAGAGGATATGTGTTACTTGTGGCCATCTTGGTCACGATAGTGAAGCTTGTAGCATTAAAATAGATGCTTTCCCAAAATCAGCAGGGGCAAAATCAGAAACTTCACAATGACAGTGAAGATGACTTTGGTCCATGGATTCTAGTCCAACGCAAGAAACAAACAAAGAAGAATATGCAAAACCAAGGGATCAATTTTATGCAGCCACATCATAACCTTAACCCTAATGGCAAAGGAGTTTGGAGGAAGAAAGGAGATGAAGCATTGCCATCTAGCAGTGGAATTTATGCCATGGGAACTGCAAATCAAAGTCAACTTATTCTCAAGGAGCATAACATTAGAGGAACTTTGACGACAACTGATAAGAAACAAACATTCCTTCATGCATCAGACCTAGGAAAAGTTGTGCTTAGAGATCACTCACTATCATGTAGCTCAAAAATCCAATCTGGAAATCAATTTGAAGCACTACAAGATGATGGCAATTCTGATTTTTGCACCAGGTTAGCTAAAGATGCCTCGTTCTCTAGTCAAAGATGGTGCTTGTCAGCTTGAGCCAAACCTTACAACCCAGGACACTGCACAGTCCTCAACTCAGAATTTTGAGCAGCCAACTAATACCAAACAAGATGTTTTTCAAAGCCAGATGGTAGCAGAAGAAAACAACACTGAAGGACAAGAAGATGAGCTTGATGAAGCAGATGGAAGGAATATTTTGGTCTCCAATGACTCGGATTCATGGATGAATATTCCATGGAACTAGCTCATCCCAAACTTGCACTACCAGAAATGTTCCAAGGATATGTAACACATTCTCATAGGAAAGCAATGGGACAAAAATCTTCTCCAAGATTTGGTATGAGAAGACACAAATGATGAGTTGAATCAGATTTTTTTTGTTTGTCTATTCACACACCTAAACCATACGAGCTGTTATTTTTTAGACTGCTAGGTTGAGAATTAGCATGAAAGGCCTTTGGGCGTGTCTTGAGCCTAGTTGATCGATTATATCTCTTGTACACACTTTTTCCCCTAATAGTTCATGTTTATGAAATCTCCAACCGCTACCTTTACTTGTGCTCAAAAAGATATATGCATTAATCAAGTGGCCATGTCGGTTATTATTCCTTTTAATGATTTTCAAATTATTGGTCTTGTTAACTATATTTTTATTTAGGTTCATTTTGTGGACGCGATGAGAGCTTCACACCACACTAGTTTCCTTTGATGTAAGGCTTTTGCATTATAATATCCTCTGATGTATGCCTGTACCTGTCTATGTGCTGCACCGAGAAAACCTCGGTTATTAAGGGTCAAGGTCATCAATTTAGCTTGTTGAGTTGGCTGAACCAAACTAGTTGATGGTTGTTCATTTATATAATTCCTAGTGTGTTATAGCTTCCTATGTTTACCCCATCGTAAGTGCTAAGAACCTGGTTTCTCTATGATTGTATTTCTCTTTTGCAAGACTAATAATGCTCTGCCTGATTTATTTAAGTGATGTCCATGCAGCTCCTCC